CCAACACCAGCAGTGTTTACGGCGCAACATTTCCAGGGTAGGTGGAAACACATCTTTGTTTTTGATGCGTCGCATGTAAATTGATCGTCGATGTTGTCATGTGAGTGTCTCTTATGCACATTCCACGTGCAGGCACTCAATGGCAAGCAGTCGGGCGGATCTAATTTGATCGTCGATGTTGTCATGTGAGTGTCTCTTATGCACATTCCACGTGCAGACACTCAGTGGCAAGCAGTCGGACGGATCCAAACATGGCGAGCGCTAATTTGTTGTTGCGTCGCATGTAAATTGATCGTCGATGTTGTCATGTGAGTGTCTCTTATGCACATTCCACGTGCAGACACTCAGTGGCAAGCAGTCGGACGGATCCAAACATGGCGAGCGCTGATGTCTTATGCAGCGCTTGTAAAGTGATCGTAGGTGGTTTTATTGTGTTTCTTAGCACATTCCACGTGCAGGCACTCGTGGCATCACGGTTAAGTGATTGTCTAAGTTGTCGCGTGACTGTCTCCTTGGAACGTTCCACACGTGGGTGTTCGGTCGCAGATAGACGGATGCACACATGGCGGGTGTTGGTACATGTGTTGCGTCACAGGTAGTGAGTGTCGAGTTGTCGTATGGGTGCCCTTTTGGTCTCCTTCTAAGTTTGGGCACTCAGTGGTGGTTAGGCTACCTGTTGTGTTTCGCACTTTATGATTGTCGATGAACACCCGTTCAATGAAACAGATCTACTCTTCGGAAGGTTGGGTTTGCCTCTGTACAGGAATTCGAGGCGATGAGATTTTACCTCGTTGACAATTGAGAGGTTAATGAGGAAGAGATGAGATTAGAGTTGGACTAATCCAATTGGCTAGTGGACTTCCGGTGATTTTTGAATTTTGCTCTACTAGGGATTTATTCAGAGAGAGATAAGAGTCAAACCCACCCTAAGCCAGAAGCTCGATTCACATTAGTCAGGGGAGTGTGGGTAGCAGTGGATGGGGAAAATAACGAGCTCCGGGGTCTAATACCGGTTTCATGTTACAAAATAGGATTCCGGAGGATTAGGCCAACACGAGTTTAAATGAAAGACACTTTACAGTTGTACACTGTAACTTGTGTTGTAAATGCAATTTGTTTGCATAAAAATTCGTGTAGGGGTGGCTGTAAAGATAAATTATTAGATAAAGCCAGCTCAGTTGGGTATGCTCTTCCGAGAAGAAGAGATGTAAGTCTAGGCGTTGGGAGGTATAGATAAGATTGGGATGAGAATTGGATGAGAATGGGATGAGAATGGGATGAGTATGGGGATGAGTATGGGGATGGTTATAAGAAGAGAAGAGAAGAGAAGTGAAGAGAAGGGAAAGTTACTAGTACTATATTAAGACTTATAGTAAGGGTAACCAGGCTGGGACGTCGCGACGCAGGCACTGCCCCATAACTCATAAAGGATGTACCAATGACTGCGCAGTGTGAATAGTGAACTATTTACACTGCGCTGTGATTGGTTAAATCCTGCATGACGTCATTATCCCTTTAAATATGAATGCCAGCCAGGCTAATCACCATTGCGATCATTGGAAGCATCCGCAACGCCGAAGGAGCGTGGTGTTAGGTCAGTCCCAGGGAGTGGGTGGGGAAGGGTTTAGCCCTTCTTGTTTAGGAAAGTTTTTCGCTGCCCCCCCACCCACCCCGTTATCCTATATTTCATATAGTGGGACTCGGCCTCGCCGCGCGACTCCGGCACTGCCCCATAACTCATAAAGGATGTACCAATGACTGCGCAGTGTGAATAGTGAACTTTTAGTTCATTTTGGTAAGTATAAGTATTTCTGTCAAATTGAGACTGAAACCCCTACAGTTAACGTTGCTTCTACCATTATTTCTGTGGTGTGATCCCATGCTGTACAAAATTCCCTAGTTCTTAATTTCTTGTTGTTTTTTCCGTAGTTTTCCCGCAAGTTAAGATGCAGTGATGATGTGGCGACTCTTGGTTCTAGTTGCTGTAGTTCGCTGCGGTGAGTCTTCATAATCGACGCTTGGATGATACTAATGATATTCATTCGTCATTCAGAGACATAACGTCAGCACTATATTCTACTGGGGCTCTAAAAGCGCCACATTGAAAGTGTTATCGAGGGCCTATCAAGGAAGTCTTTGAAACCGTGATATCTTACTGGATACTGTTCGTGATATCTTACTGGGGTTACTGGATACTGTTTGGTGAATACTAATTCAACTACATGTATTTTGATTTATCGGTCTTAGGCTAGGGTATACCCTGCGGAGTTGTCATAATCATAATTGGTTGACGTTTATGGAAAGCGTATTTTGACTGTTCCAAGAAAATACTCCTCCTTTACAATTATAAAGAGATCTCATGGGCAAAACTGTACAAACAATTTTAGAGAGTTATCTCAAAAATAAGAAAACCACCGTATGTTGTTTTTGTTGTTCTCAATTCACGTAGAAAAAGAAAATTCTGTTGACAAGCTGTGTATTATATGTTGTGTTAACGTTTGAAGTATAAAACTGTACTGTATAGTTGAAGAGACTTTTTTCATGAAGTTCGTTTTTTTTCAGGTTCAGCTCAGGTCTTTTATCCTGGACTGGGAGGTACGTTATTTACAATTATACTCAACAGCACTGTAAATAATTAAACAACACGTTTTCTGTAAAGACAGGAGGAAGAAATATGTTACATAAGTCAAAAATAAGATACGTGTTGGATCGTCTGCTGTGGAAAGCATTCCCAAATACAAAGGCAACTTGAATACTCCTTGTCTGCAAAGTATACGTAGTTCTGGCACCAATGCATGTGACAGTACGTGTTTTAACATTAGGTGGACCGCTAACTTCAAAGTTTACGTTGCTGTAATGAAAATAGAGAGGAAGACTCGCTCTTTTGAAGTCAGTTTTGCGCCCAGGCATTTCGTGATACGGCAGAACTCTGTAGTACCGCCAATCTTTAAACTTCAAATGAGCCAGACTGGGTGGATGAAAAAAGAAACATGTATGTCTTTGTTGTGTGATGTTACGTATACAGAGTTACATAGCTTGGTATTTTTATTTTCAATCCATACGTGTTGTTTTGGCGTCCATAAGGCGTGAAGTATAAGCCCTTGAACACCGTGCTTTGAATGAAAATAGCAACGAGAACGGTCCGAATCCTGAAATGAAATACACATTCCTTTGGTTTCCGTCACTATCAACAAACTGTAATTGTTGTTGTTGCTATTGTTGTTGCTGTTATTGCTATTGTTGTTGCTGTTGTTGTTGTTTAGGAGGCGACAGTTGTCCGTGGTGGTTTTGCCAAAATAACGGTGTGTGTGTGCCTGGTGAGGACGGCGCAGACGACACGTGCGACTGTCCGGACGGCTACTCGGGAACGAACTGTGAAACACGGGGTAAGGAGCCTGGCCCTGCCCGGTCTCAGACTCGCTAACAGTGCGTTCACATTCATTCTAGCTATAAGCCGTACGTAGCCTCCTTCGCAGACTTCTGATGCGGCGGCGTTAATTTTTTTTATTGATGCGCGGAAACCGTCTCTCCCCGGCAAAATCCCTTGGCGGCATAACTTGCGTCGCTTCCCGAAAAAAATTAACGCCGCCGCATCAAAAGTCTGCGAAGGAGGCAAAGCCGTACGTACGTACATGTTTGCTGCTGTGGAGGCTGTGACAAAACCAACCACTGGCAAGGGTCTTATACATCCTTTTTTCCGTAAGAAGGCAGCTAAACTTTGCACGACGTCTATCCCAGGAATATACCCTCAGTTTACGATCGTGCGACGATTGTTCGACATAGGTGACCACACAGTACGTCCTCGGTACAAGCGAAATTGGAATGACATTGATTTTGTCATATTTGTCACTGACAGCTTTTAAAAAAACATAAGTTGGTGCAAATAAAAAAAAAACTTCCTTTATTCTTCCCATCACAGATTGCCGGACAGTGTTCATCACCACCTCGGACCAGAGCGAGCCCCTGTCCGCTAACCCCGTCGTGGTGGGCCTCTACTCCCGCCTGGAGGACACGTACAACTGGCGGGAGGTCTACAAGAAGGACGACGAGGATCTTTGGCTGTTCTACATGTCAGATGACTACACCTGGTTAGTGGGAAGGACTGTAGGCTCTTATCCCGCGCAAATGTCGGCGGAGAACGCGCAGTACTACCCCGACCAGACCGCGGGACCGTTCTACCTGCACAGCCCCGATGGTTGGATGAGGGAACCGTACCTTGAGATACGCTGCAGCGGTGGTAAGTTCCGTTAGTCTCCGCTGGTTGCTGTTTGTAGCTCCCCTTAAGTACCTCGTCCAAAAAGTCAGATTCCGTATCCAAGCTTTCTTGGTTGAAAATTTGGCCATTTCTTATCCCGATGAAGGAGACAGTACGTGGTCGCTGAAAATTTGATCCTTGACCCTTGTGTTGGAATAAAGTTCAGCATTGTACTATGATTACTACCAATACAGATGAACTTCCATGATAATTTGAATACAATCATGTCTACTTTACAGAACTGCCATGTGGCCCGTCGCCGTGTCAGAATGGCGGCACGTGCGTCCAGCATGATTACTACTGGGACAGCGAGCCGTTCTACACCTGTACCTGCGTGGAGGGATTCAACGGGACAGACTGCGAAAACAACCGTGAGTACTGGTTAAGATGGCAAGAGGGTTGGAAGGGATTCAACTCGTACTCTTTACAAAACTACAAGAGAAGTAGCGCGTTGGATTTAGTGGATAGAAACAAGACGTACTCTTCGTTCTCTGCCCAGTGCAGAAGAGCACCTACATGTATCTCTCCTTGTGGTGTTGTTATGTACTGCAGTGAATTGGCATCTGTCCTTGGTGCTGAAAACGTTTCACATACAAACGTTTCTAGTTTAGGAAGTTTCCTTGGCTAGAGGTAGGCTCAGAAGGCAGCCCTTCAGTGTTGGAGTGGTCAGTGACTGGGATGTCTTCCACAGTCGGTAGTAGACTCAAAGACTGTAAATTAATCTAAAACACAACTAGATAAACAATGGGAGAGTCTGCAGTACAGCACACGAGTAACGTTCGTGACCGGGATTACTACAAATGAAGCCTCCTCATCCCGAAGATGTTATAAAGGTATAAATGTAATTTTTAGCTTCCTACCTCTTACGTGTAGTGAGTAATATGGGTCATTTCAATCTGACGACGGCTGCAAAACGAATTGCTACTTTGTAACACGTCGAAAGGAGAAAAGTTCTATTGCAATACCATAGAAAGCCGTTAGGAACTTTGTCCTTTCTCTTTTCCAACACCTCCCCACATACTAAACATCATAAAGATCCATCCACAGCGTCACGAGCTACTCTGTCCAGAAACTAGTCCAGAAATAGCATCCGAAACATAAGCTTCTTCTTCACGTTTTTATTGCTAGATGTTGACGAGTGTGCTTCCAATCCGTGCTTCAATGGCGCCACCTGTGTGGATGGCTTGAACTCCTACACCTGCGAGTGTATCTTCGGTTCTGTGGGGACTCACTGCGAGCGAGGTGAGAACTGCATCTTTGCGTGTTGCTTGTTTTGTCTTCTTTAACTGAGGTGAAGCATGATGATTTTTAATTCATCTATCACCGTGTGATTAATACAGGGGTTCCATGCCGGTGATTTGTAGTGAATCATCAACTTTACAGATAGTAAAATTTAGACCATCGCACACCGGAGCATGCCCATGCTTTTTTTGAAAGGTGTGGTGGGTTTTTTAACGTGGGTGGAGTGGTCTTATTGTCTTGATCTGAGTCATATAACTGGTGTATAACATGGAGAAACACGATTATTTCTAAAACTACAGTTTCATAATCCATAGTTTTTGACCAGAGCTGCAGAACGCAGTCGTGTGTGAGTCTTAACTTCTCTCTAGTCCTCTACGAATGTTGCTAAGATTAATTGTTAATTCTCATCCTTCTCTTTCTTTTTATCATTCAGTGTTGCCCTACTTTCGAGAACAGTTCCTCAAGTACGAGGTCGCCCCAACATCGGTAAGGCGAACAAAACTTCGCATTTTCTAGAATCACGTATTCATTATTACACAGTTCTTTCCCCGGACCGCAAAATCCCTCCCACATGCTTCCCTCTCGAATACAATCCTCAAGCTTTCAAAATAAACATCCAACGCCATTCTGGGATAGCCATATATCTGTTGTAACTTTAGTTAGTACCTAGCTTAGTGCCCAAAGGTGGTCACTGAGCACTACCGTTAAAAAAACATATATGTACGTACCGCCTCTAATATTTGGCAACGTGGGGACAATCTCTGTGTCATAAATTTATGGAGCTGTACAAAAATTTTTTTTAGTCATTTCTTTGTTGTCAACATATAAGACTTTGCTTGAATGTTGCCTGACAGGTCTCTTTGTAATTTTGTAGGCTCCCATTGAGTGTTACGTGTGTGACTCGACCAGTGACGGCCACTGTGACGTGGACCAATCAACACTGTCCGAGGAATTTCGAAACAACACCAATACAACACAGGCATGCAGCGGCGGTGCATGCTGGGTAAGTAACATGCTGACATCAGAAGGTTTTTTAAAATTTCATGTCCAATTTGGCCAATTTTCTACTCTTTCCAGCCACTTCTGAAGCCTGGTAGAGGCTAGTTCTGAGGACATGCTTTTTGACTCTAGGTCACCCGGTCAGAGGTCAACGGCCAGCTGCTTTCGTACCAACGTTCCTGTGAGTACAACAACCTGGAGTGTGACGACATTTACGCGTTAGAGAACTGTCAGGACGATCCGGATGGAACCAAGGTAACGACCTATTCTTATAAACCAGTCTTTGACAAGGGGTAAAGTGATCAGGTTATAGCCCCGTCCCTGTGGCGTTGCCAAAATCTTCTTGGGTCGGCTTTGTCAGAACAAGAAAAATATTGTGTCATTCTGTCGTAATGCCTACTAATGGAACATGGAAACCCCGTTTGGAATATGACCTAGTCTTAAAAACCAGTCTTTGGCAATAGGTAAAGTGTAACAGATTAAAGCTCCGTCCCTTTGGCGTTGCCAAAATCTTCTTGGGTTGGCTTTGTCAGAACAAGAAAAATTGTGCCATACTGTCGTAATGGAACATGGAAACCCGATTTTGGAACATTACAATAACCCTGACACATGAAATACGAATATAGAAGTCGAAACCGGTACCGGTCTCCCTGCTGTCACTGTTCTAAAGCTTCCTACAGAACTTTGTTTCTTTTCAAGTCGTAGGACCTCTATTAGCGTTCATGATTTCACAGTAGTCTTTGTTTCTTTTATTATAGTATTTCTATCAGTGTTGATGATTTTACAGTGTTCCTGTTGGAGTCCGCTGTGATACAATAGAATGAAATATTTAGAACAAAACTTTTTTTGCGCTATATGCATTTATAATCCACTTAATCGACACACTCCAGTCGTTGACTTGTTTCCATGCCGTCACAACTTCCTCCCAGGTTTGCTACCGTTGCTGTACCGCTAACCAGTGTAACTTCGGCCTGCTGACCGGGACCGCCGTGTTCGTGCTCCCGTCAGACTCCGGCGGCGCTGCCGACACAGGACTGCGGTGGCTACTGCTGCTGACCGCCGCCCTGGCTCTTATCGTCAACTGATCGGAGTCTAGGCTTATTGCATCCAGGACCGTGCCTATCTAGACTAAATTTAAAGCCTCTACCACCTAGGCTGGAATTCAAGAGTAGAAATTGGCCAAAAAGACAGATAACATGCCAGGGGACTTGGTCCGCTAAAGGATCCTAATGTGTAGTTTGCTAATCTCCAAGCAGATCTTTTGGTGACTGCAAAATCAAATTTGCCAGGCTGTATCCATTAGCCAGACAATTACCACCGAATTTCCGTAGCGAAATGGTAACCGTCTGGCAATGGATACAACCTGCCATTTTGACTCTGTCTTTGCAGCCATTAAAAAAAATCTGCTTGGAGATTGATTTGTGGCTCTGAATTGTACTCCTCTCCTATTTCGTCGTGACGTGTGTTTGAGTGGCTCTAGATCTGTTCTTCCTTGACGTACGTTAAACATTTCGTGAACGTCAAACAGCTTGTGCGTATTGCCCCAACTTACATATATTACAATATTTTACTTATTAAGCTGTGCTGTGTTTACATATTTGCTGCAAGTATATATGGAGGGAACCCGATACGTGCGGATGAATGTACGCTTATATATAATATCTCTTGTTTTGTTGAATAAAGTATAACTTTTTGTGTATGACATACTAATTTTTTAAGGGAACCTGTATGTATGAATGTACGCTCATATAACGTTATAATATAACAGTTTTTTGTGGAATAAAATATAACGTTTTTGTAAATTGCTGCTGTGACGTTTCTATGCCTTTAATAGTTATATGATTATAGTTATAATTAGGCCACGCTTAATGTCATTCAGTACTCTGCAACGCGGACATATTTGGGGTACTTTAAAACGTACATGGCAGAGCACTGCTTTCTTTCAATGGTGGGCCCGATCGATTTACAGTAAGGTGGTTCTCACGGTGCAGACATTAGTATCGCTACGCGCGCCACGAAGTTACTTCCGGGTATTTTAACTACATGTTTAAGGCCACGTCGGCAGAAACAACAGGTCTTACTCTTGATTTTATACCAACTAAGATGAGACCCAACAAAATTAGTACCTTGTCGTATCTTATTTTACTACGTACAACGGAATACTACTTGAAGATATTTGTTTTTATCTCAAACCAGATCGTTTGGTGGCTACAAAGACAGTATCAAATAGGCAGGGACTATCTATTTGCCAAACAGTATTATATTACCCCTTGACTGGCGTAAAAACAAATACCAAAAGAAAGCCCGATGAAAAGCCTGAAACACGTCTAAACGTCTGCTTGGAGAATACAGTTATTTACGAAGGTAGAAGTAACTATACAATGCGTGCGCATGACCATGAGTCACATATGACTACCACATGTATGTACACTACAACACCCCACCCAACCCCGTGGTTCTGTTAAAAAACACAGTCTACGTACCTTCTCCACTCCTTTGTACACCGTTGAGGTGGCTCCTACACCAAGAGGCTCGCACAGTCGCCACACAAAGTGTTGGGAACTCCGCAGCTGGCCTCCCATTTCAAACTGCGCACTTCTGCCAAACCCGGAAGTGAACTGTATATCATGTACATGTACTTTATACCAACCTATAGTATGACCTATTTGAACGCTCTGAAATGAAACCAGCGTGGTATTATGTAGAGAGAGATTGAGAATTTTGTTTTCGAGTTAATATGACTATGCCATGAAATCTACTTCGTATCAGACAGATCTCTTTAAACAACAGCGGTAAATTCAAGAGAGTATATATAACGAAAAGGACAAGCAAATGCGACAGGAGTTACTAGTATATCTCACCTGTAACGTTACTGAGAGCCTTTTATACACAGTTCGGTTGATCAGCCCTAAAATTAAAGGGTACTGTAAAGAAATGAGTCATCTTTGAAGGTTTGCGAGGATACGGAACGTACTTTTACGTTACAACTTAGTTTGAAAACTTACCAGTGAGGTCACTGCACGTGCAAGAGTAGAAAGGGAAACCAAATATGACGCATGCGTGGAAATCCCCAACAGTGAGCAAGGGGAATCCCCTTTGTCACGGGCCGAAAAAAGCGCAAACGCAGTACTTGTTTATTACCTTACACCTTGTGTGTGTGTGGGAGGGGCGTCTCTCAAGTAGAGCAAATATGAAAATTTCAACGGTTCACGCTTCAGACTGAAAGTGTTTTAAGTTGTCAGACATGCTACGTGTTTAAAAAAAAAAAAACACCGTTTAACACCGGGTGCCTTGGATTGCAGGACCTATTACTGCAGAGATTTTTTCAGCCGCCGCGGGGCGTTTTTTTATCCATGGCGAGTTCAACACCAAGTGTCATAAACTGTCATATTTGCTACGTAAAATTGGTAATTATAGTACCACAAACGGAAGGGTTTCAGAGGAATGAATTTAACCAAGGAAATATGTGCCAGAAATGTAACCTTCCTTGGTCAGGAGAGTCGAAAGGTTTAAATCGCGTGGCCTGCGTCAAAAGGCTCTCTATCAGTCTATCTCAAGCATGCGTTTCAACTACTATCACAACAAACCCCTGAAAAACACGCTAGGTATTGAATGTTCTTGGCAGAGGTAAAAGATGTTAACGCAGAAATAAGCCGAGAAGTGCTTCTTGTCCCACCCCCTCCAACCTCTGAATCTATCACAAACTTCAAGGATGGTAGAAATAAATAACCACAAACAAATAACAAACAAGGAAACAGATGAACATAATATATAGGCATATATTTGATACTTTTAATGAGTACAGTGGATACAATTAATAGCTAACTTCGTTTTGTACATTAGATCCAGCTAAGATTCAGCACACTGAAAACTTGCTGGATAATGCGAGGTTTACAATAATTTTAAATATTACAAAGGAGGCAATTTTAAAAATACAAGGTTTAATTTAGATATAATCATTAAATGGTTGGGTTTGTATGAAAGTCTGTTTTCACCAAAACTAGGGAAAAAGTAGTGTTAAGGCCGAAGTCTCGTTAAGCTTGGTACATTATGAAGTAGCCTAAACATCTAGTTGATTTTCCTCTCTTTCCTACAATTTTCACATAACATGGCTGCAATACAACTGTAATGCACTGTTTAACAATCTTTAAGTATTACAGGTTAAAATAATACATATTAAGGTAACAACTAAAGTGGAGAAAGTCCTGAAATAATAATAGCAAATCAAAAAATTCAGGATGGAAAAAAAATCATATTACAGGTGACTGAAGGCTAAGCAAAATCAATAAGAAATAATTCTTAGAATTAAAGGGGGACATAAAATAAAGAGGACACTGGTTAAATTTAACCTTAGAGCTAAGAAGGAACCAGGAAAATGGCACAGGATACTTGTAGTGGAAACTTTGTAAAACTCCTCGTGGAAAATGGAAGAAAAATGGACTTTGACACATTCAACAAGCCATACAGACTAGACACAGCTCATAATTACATGTACTTTTCCAATCAGAAAGATCTGGATGCTTCCCTGCTCGATTCTGTGTTAAAACGTACACACACGTGAGAAGTACAGTACTGTTCTTCATAACTTTAAACTGTCTTGGGAATGTAGAATAGGCTTCATGTGCACTGGGCATTTCACCTGAGTAAGATCATAACAGCAGTTCTGATTGGTCGGTCGAGATCTGGCTAGAATTCACAAATGCTAATTTTGATTGGTTTGGATCAAAGATGACTTCATGGATTGGCCTTGATTACGTAATAGACAAACATGGTTTGTCATCACTAGAAATGCACATGGATGCACATAGTATAGTTCTATTT